AGAAGGACTTACAGGATGTGGATTTATATTAGGTAATTTTAGAGGGTGTTCGAGGAAGTGGGATCTTCTGTGAGTTGGACGCTGTTGGGACATGGATGAGTTCTAAGATTGTGCCTCATGGTAAATCTTATCTCTAAGGAGTGAGGACAAGAGCCAGGCTAAGGCTGTAATGGGTCAAGAAGCAGCATCACTCAGATTAGTGAGCAAGGGTGTCTTGGGTAGCCGGTGTTTGGGTGGCTTGAATAATGATCACGTTTTGTCTGTGTTCATAGGTTACAGAGGGGTCCTGTTCCATCATGAGCGCAGAGACACCTGGTCTGAGGGTTGAGGTTTGGAAAAACTGTTTATGTTCAGTGGAACACCACGGGCCAGCTGTGTCTGCCAGGTGCACCCTCCTGGGTGTCAGGGGCTGTTCTGCACTTCTCAGAGGACAGCAGGTGAGGCATTATTACCGGGACAGAGGGCGTGACGTCCTAACAGGGCTTGGGAGCGACATAGAAGCCTGGCAGACTCTAAGTGCGACTTCATCACGGGTATCTGAGCTGGAGTGTTGACCTTGGCCTTGGAGAAAGGTGTGTTTAGGGGATTCATAGGTGAGGCTCTCAAACAGGCAGAGCCTGGGGCTAAACGCATCCACACCCTCAGTAGCTGGTCACATCTGTTCATGTCTAGTTTTACAGGTAACAGCTTCCGAATGTCACGGGTTAAGATACATCACTATGTAAACCACAGTCTTTATTTGTCACTTTCAAAATACACAGGCAAATTATTTGTCTGTGGGGCTTCATACTCTGAAGCCCAGACTGCACCGTCCTGCAGTGGGTGGTGTCTCAGGTGCGTCCAGCTGAAGGAAACACTGCAGGCTTGAGAGCAGCTCCTGCCCCTGCTGGCAGCTCCCTCGGGGAACTGATGCCCAGAATCCTTTACCAGAAACCTCTGTTCTGTTGGATTAACCCAACTCCAGCATGCCTTCTGCACCTTTTACACAGCTTAACTCACAGGAGCATTGAAGCCTACGTTTCCATCTTAAATTCCTCTTAGAAGAGCCATTTGAGTATTTTAGTTTATTTTAATGCCACTATGTGTTCATATAAAATTACTGCTAACAAATCTTCCATTTCTGAAGTATGATATTCACCCCCGCATTACTACTCTTCATTTACTCTTCCCTTTCAAGAGAGAAAACAGGTCCCTCATAGATGACATTGAAATGACAGTGCAAGTGTGCATTTCCTGGGACCCAAGGCCCACAAGGTGCTTCCACCTGCACTCACAGGGATGAACACTACAGAGGCGTTCACCAAACTGTGTGGTGGCAGAGAGAATTTTATTTGGAAGGAACCACGATTGCAATTTTCTCTGGAGAATAGTACAATGTCCTACAAATTTTAACAATTACTCAAAAATTTATTTCAGGAATTGCATATAATTTTTTTTAATTAGAAAGCAATAATTGCCATCATATACTATTGAGAATGGCCCTGTGCTGGTATCAAAGCTTCTAAGAGAGAATGAATGCCAGCTCCCTAACCATACACACACACACACGTGTACATCAACGCACACAGCCACCCTCACACACACCACATGCACCCCACAAACCCCATATAGCCTCCCACAGCCCCACCTCACTCCACACTCCCTCTTACACAGCTCCACACACCACACACACAGCCCCTCCACACCCCCACACACCACACCTTACCCACCCCACTCCACACTCCCTCTTACACAGCTCCACACACCACACACACTATATAATTAAATTTTTGTATCTTATGTCTTTAAAAGTAGATAAACGCCCTCTATTTTGTATTTTTTTAATCCAAATGTTTCTATTCATAGAGTGCAAATATTGGCAGGTTAGTTGCTTCGTCTCCAAGCTAGAAAAGCTCTCCCGAGCATACCAGGAAAGAGAGACAAGTCAGGGTAAGCTCTTTCTTTTCTTCTCTACACTCAGCCATGTTATACTCAAAGTCAGGACTTTTTCCAAATTTGCTAGAAAAAGACAGAATCAAGAGCCAAATAAAAGCCTATTTAACTTCTTTTTATTTGAAACTTCAAAGTAGGTCATTTACACAGTGAAAAGGACAAGGAAGAAAAGAGAGAAAACAGTTAACATAAAAATGAAGGCTCAACAACAGTAAAACCCTATTTCAAATACTTTTTTTTTCTAAAGCACATTGTCCACTATTGTTAGGAAAAATAAGTCATGAAATTGATTTTTGTTATGTTTCCTTCCAATCATTATGAAAAGCCATTGACTGTAAGCTAAAAATGGAAAAGAAAGAAGAAAAGAACCAAAGCCTGGCACTCAAAATGAAAGGACGGAGACATTAACCATTTATGAGCCTGATTTTTTTTTTTTTTTTTTTTAAAGAGCAAGTGAATTATTATTGTGTGTTGAACTCAATTTTCAACTAGATTTTCAATGAAACCCTGAATGCTCCTCTTCTATGTTTAGGAAAAACTTGTGTTTTTAACAACTAACTCCATTTCTGGGAGACTGAAGCTCTTACACATCTTACAAACTATTTTCTTGGCTACAGCAAACAAGATCACCCCTGGAGTGCCTCCTGATGCCCTGGAGGCAGGACAGACTCCGGGGAGTCACCTGGTGATCTTGTTCAAATGCAAGTAAGAGTCAGGAGATCAGGTAAGGGACTTGAGACTTTTTCTAAGGATGCAAGGCTGGGGACCACAAGGGATTAGAAAGCTGCATTAAATTTCAGCAGCCCGCCCATGACCTACTCCCAGAAACTCCGTTACGTTTGTGTGTCACAAGGACTGAACTTCTTTGGCATTAGTACATTCCACAAAGAATCATAATGCACTGTATTAATTTCCTAGGACTGCCATGACTGTAACACAAACATGGTGGCTTACAACAGCAGAACTATATTCCCTCATAGTACTGGAGGCTGCATCTCTGAAATCAAGGGGTTGAGGTTGTGCTCCTGAAGGCTGTTAAGAAAAAGTTCTACCTCTCCTCTTCCAGTTTCCGGTGGTGGCCGGCACTCCTTGGTGTTCTAAAACTTGTGGATACATCACTACCATCTCCACCTCCGTCTTCACAAAGCCTTCTCTCTTTTGTGTCTTTTGTACCCTTGGGTCTTCACATGGTATTTTCTGTGTGTGTGTGTCTGTGTCCAAACTCCCCTCCTCTCATAAGAACATCAGTCACTGGCTTAGGGCCCACCCTATTCCAGTATGACTTGATCTTAACTAGATTACATCTGCAAAGGCCCTGTTTCCAAATAAGGTCACGTTTGCAGGTCTCATGGATTACAGGTTCAACATATCTTTCTGGGGACACAGTTCAACCCAAAATGTGCACAGCAAAGTTTGGCATCCACTGAGACAGTAGTTCTTCATACTGACTGCTCTTTAGAATCACCAGAGGAACTCAAAATTATATCAATACTCAGCTACAACCAATTAAATCTGATTCTAGGCTTAAATTCAGGCAGTACTCTTCTTTAAAACCTCCCAAGTAATTCTAGTGCATACCAAGGTTTGGGAACCACAGCACAGCATAAGACTCGGATTTTACAGACTTTGGTGAATATGTGTAGTATTTCTAAATGGAATGTCTGCTTTCTTAGTATGCAAATAAACTGGTAATTTAATCTATGCTGGAAATATGCTGTTTAGAAAACAGGATTTTGATAATTGTTTTCAAGAAACCAAAAGTTTCTTCTCAGTGAGATGATTTTAAAAATTTGATTTTTTAAAAAAGGAGTATAATATGGATTATGAAATATTTATTCATATATATATATATATCACTGCACACATTTAGAAATAAAGGCAAAGGGTTAAAGAGGAAAGTACATATGAAAGAATTAAACTGAGGAAATTTGAGCCAGAAAAGTCAATCAGAATAAATTAATGACATCTTAACACTTCTCTTAAGATTTGCCCATGATGATATATGTGTAATTTTGTCCAAAGGAACTAGAAAATCGAACTGTTTTTGAACTATTCTCTCCAATTGCCACCGATTTTCCAGACACACGATTCCAGGAAACATTTGCTAATGGTCTCTAAATTTTTCAAATAGATCGATGCCACTACTTGCTTGAGAGAGAGAGACAGACAGCAAGAGGGATAGAGAGAGGACAATAATGAGGTGTTCAATATTATATGGTCATACCTGGAGCCCTAAACAAGACTTCGGAAAAGGTAAAATAAGTAATATTGGGGCATCAGATGTCATTTTCTTTTTTGGATTGAAGACAGTTCTGCATTGGTATTTGCTTTGTTGTGACAATGATTACTGGCTAAACAGTAATAACAATTTCATGAAACAATACATTTCACTGTGTTTATTACAATATAGTATAAAGTAGGGAGCTAAATAAATACTGGTATTTTATAATCCAGGGGAAAAGAAACCCCATTAATGAAAACATCCAGGGCTATACTGAGAAATATAGCATAATAAAATATGAGAAGTTAAACAGTAATATGAAAATATACCAAAACACAGCAATCAGGTAAACAATGATAAATAGATCATAAAATCTGTTCAGTAGGAAAAGGTAAGGATAAAGAAGTCAACATGTGCTTTATGTAAAACTAAGACATAATTTATCATCCAAACCAGGGTCTTTGAGAAAAAATAAGTTGCTATTGAAAATTATTCCAGCAAAATAGGTGTAAGCAGAGACTGTTCCCAGCCACTATGAATTTAGTCCACCCCACCACTGCTCTCAGCTCACCTTTGCCTGTGCAATTGCTTTAGCCCTGGAAATACCATTCTAATGTCTTTTCCATGATCAAATAGGAAGGAGTACTCATTTATTCAACACCGATTCCAATGTGTTGTACACACAGTCCACAAATACTCAGTGGTTATTAAGAATAAAAACAGGCTAAAACTATACTGCAGTAAAAATCAGCCCCCAAATCTCAGTGGCTGAAAACAAAGTATATTTATCTCTCAGGTTGCCTGCCCACCGTGGGTAGGCAGGGTCTCTGTTCAGCCTAGTCTTGAACTTTGGCAATCGTGGAACCCGAGGAAAAGGAGAGGATGTCCAAGGTCTCTCACCAACAGTGCGTGTCATGCCTTGGCAATGACACATAGCAAATTCTTTCATATCCAATTCGCCATTAGTAATCACACAGTACCACTCAACCATGAAAAGACTAGCAAACGCAATCCTACCTAAGTTCTGAAAGGGGTAAGTGGAAATATTTGCAAGTATAATGAATGTTTACCATAAAAATAACTTCATAACTCAATATCTTCTGGTATACCTCCCTTGGTATTTTTCCTTTTCTATTTTGAGGAGGGAAAATCTATTAAAAACTGTTTCTAAATCTCCTCTTGGTTTAAAAGATGCTGCAGAGGAAACCATGTTTTACGTATGCCCCACTTTCCATACTACTCTCTCTACCTAGCGCTGAGCAAGTAATGATGCAGGTTCTTGGCACAGTCTCTGTGACCAGCACGGCCTAGGAAATAGTCACATTTGTCAAAGTACAAGTAAGGGAAACTTCCCTTTCCCACATAGGCAGTGTTGATTGTGACATACAAATATAGTTTCTTTCAAGACACAGAAATACCAGTAGATTGCAGTTAATATTCTGACAAGTAGAGGGCCCACACAAAATTCAATATATTGGATGATCTCTATAACATTAACTGAATATGTGTTGATAATTTTAAACACTCCGAAAAAATATTTCAAAGGGTGTTATTCCTAAGAAATAGTATTAGAGTCCATTTTTAAAACATATTTCCTTATTTAGATATTTTCTTTGTTTTCCAGATACTCTGCAGTAAACTTGCATTACATTTGCAAACAGAAAAAGATATTATTTTGGAGAAAAGGAACTAAGTGCTTCATGTAATGGCTATATTCAGGTATATTTGTCTTTTCTGAGAAGGTAACATATAACTCAGATGCTAGCTTCTCTCACCGATGTATTATAACTTTAGGTTGCTCTTAGAACATCACTTGATTGTATGACTATAATAAGCTGGTGTTTTAGAAGTAGAGTTTGATGCCTTGGGCAGTCATTCCCCTCCTTGAGGAGAATCTTCATGTGAAAAATGTTGGTTATTTATGTATAATGTTATGTGGTGGAAAAATATTACATATGAATTTTTCTTCTCAGTGGTGCCAAAAATGAACAAATGCTAACCTCATCCTATACTCTTTCATAAAATATACCTTGTCAATCTCAATTAAAATCATATTCCTTATTTATAGGATATCAGAATTTGTTGCTAAAACTTGCTGTTGAATTCAAACTGTGAATAACATTTCTGACATAACATTGTTTGGTAGTTTAAGGTGGTGAAATATCATATGGCCCCTGATGATGAAACTAGCCCAGTTTTCTCATAGAACTGATGCTTATGGTTCCTTTGAAATAAACATAGAAATTGACACTCCTAGCCTTAAAACATGAGACACTTACAGTTGTCTTATCTAAATTCCTTTCTCAGAAAACCAGCATTCCACCCAGATAATATCAAGGAGCTGAAACCCAGAAAATCACTGCATCTGGACAATGAGATGCCAGATTCCTCACCGTCATGGTCAGAATCGCTTAACTGACCACCTGCTTCCTGTTGACCAACTCCTCTTCCTTACCGCTCCTTAATTCCTGTTTTCCCACACAAGGTTACATTTCTTCCCTGCTATATAAACCCCTAATTTCAGTCAGTGGGGGAGATGGGTTTGAGACTGATCTCCCATCTCCTCGGCTGCAACACCCAATAAAGCCTTCGTCCTTAGCAATACCTGCTGTCTCAGTGATTGGCTTTCTGTGCAGCAAGCTGCAGAATCCAGAGTGAACTCCTGGTGTTTTTGGTAACAAAGAAAACTCCTGTCTTCAAATTTCCTGTGGATCTCATTGGAAAGATAGGAAAATAGGCGCTTTTCAGAATACTGTGGAACAATAATGCAATCACAGGGTATAAAGGGTACTTATAGAAATTGAAAGTAACTCCAGGCTGAGGAGTTAAAGACAGACAAGCTGGAGCACAAGTCGTTGTCTGCTCTGAGATTCAGTATAAGAATTCTGCCACTTGTTAAATCATAATAACCAGTATCTCTTACCTGAATTTGGCAGTTGCTTTACTCCACCCTTTTCTAAAGTACCTGACCCATTTTTCACCTACATGACATTTGATGCTTAAAAGGATTACCTTGAATAGACAAATACAGCCCCTTAAAAGTGACCACTTTGTATCTGCCCTGCAGTGACGTGCCTTTATCTCCAGGGAAGGAGTTGAGATTCAATTAGCAGCAATAAAAATCTCTAGACGCTGTTTTTCTTTGGATACACTACTTAGCATATCTGAACCTCAGCCTACCAAATGGACCTTCAGTAGTACCCAGCCCATTTTAAATATTTGTTTAAATTTAAAATATTATGAAGATGAGGGAAGGTTCTGAAGAAAAATATTTTTTTAAAAAATAGTCAAATAAGGATATTTCATACATAAAGGTGATTTCTCCATATTCAGTGTAAAATTATCATTTATAAACATTATTTGTTCATATTAATTCAGCCAAAATCTGTGTATTTTTCTTGGATTCATTTATTTTAAGTTAGTATGTTTTTCTAATGATCTCTTCTTTTTTATCTGGAAAACGTGTGTATATGTGTGTGTGTGTTATGTGTAAATTACATGAATGTATATAATGTATGCATCTCATAAATATAATACCATTTAAAATTATTAATGCTAATTGTATGGCTACTCTGTGTCAAGATCTATTCTAAAAACATTTATGTGGTAACTTATTGAAACTTCTAGTAATTCATCCATCTTAGTTTTCAGATCAAATCTTGGGGAGGTTAAAGTATTTTGCTAAAGAGTGAACATTGTAATAAATAGCAAACGAGTTATTTCTCCATCCTTTAATTTCTTATAATTTTGGAAAACCATTATTTATATTTTTATCTACATATAAAATGAGGACTAAGCTCTGATTTTGTATCTTGCCCAAATTCCTACCTAAGGGGTCTAGGGAGTCATGCCCTATAAATCACAAATTCTCATCAGGTGGGTTTTATTTGACCCTATATATTGTGACTTACTTTTCAATCTGACTCTGGCATGACATTATGAGACAAGGAAAAAAATATTTAACCCCAAAATATATTTCCTTGCCATATCTTGAAATTGCGCTGCAAAGTCTCTTGGGGGAAAAATCCACATTCTATAGAGAATCCCTTTCCCCCTTTGTTTTCCTTCCTTTCTTTCCAGATCCAGGAGATTATCGATTAAGAGCCAGGCACCCTTTTAGGTCTGATAAGAAACAATTTACAACCTGCTCTCTCTGAGGTCTGCTGAGAGCTCCCTCTGCACAATAAAACTTGGTCTCCACAATCCTTTATCTTTATCCTGAACATTCCTTTCTATGGATCCCAGATCTTTAGACAAACTCAACTGTGAACCAGAAAATGTTTAAATTTACCTATAGCCTAGAAGCCGCCTCTTTGAGTTGTCTCACCTTTCTGAACCAAACTAATGTATTTCTTAAGTGTATTTGATGTCTCATGCCTTGCTAAAATATAGAAAACCAAGCTGTATCCTAGCCACCTTGGGTGCATGTTCTCAGGACCTCCTGAGGGCTGTGTCATGGGCCATGGTTACTCATATTTGGCTCAGAATAAATCTCTTAAAATATTTTACAGAGTTTGACTCTTCTGTCAACTAAATCTAAGAGTAAATAAATATAATGAATGATAGTACTTAGAATATCTTCCCAATGATTCACTATTGCTCTCAGCTACAAAAGAAAATAAGATGTTACTCAAAACTAAATTACACTTTTGTTATGGGCCTAAAAAGAGGAAAGCCATTGAATTTCTAACTTTGTCTTAATCATATTGGCAAATTATACTTCTATTGGGCCAACTCTAAGATCAGATTTCAATTTATAATTATTCTGTAAAAATACAACTTTAAAGGTATTAAATCTAATTATGTATAATGGTAGTAATTGTTGTACATCACAATATTTGGCCCAAAGTTGCTCTAACAGACATGTACCTGATTTTATAAATCAGGCACAGAAAAACAGGTATCTCATGTTCTTACTCATACGTGGGAACTAAAAAAGTGTAACTTATGGAGGTAAAGAGTAGAATGTTGGCTCCTGGAGGCTGACAGGGGCACAAGGGAAGGGGATGAAGAGAGGCTGGTTACTGGGCACAAACATACAGTGAGATGGAAGGAATGAGTTCTGGTGTTCTACAGCACAGTAGAGTAACTATAGTTAATAATAAATTATTGTATATTTCAAAATAATTATAAGAAAGATTTGGAAGTTTCCCAACACAAAAAAAGATAAAATGTTTGAGGTAATGGATATTCCAACTACCCTGATTACACATTGTATGCATGTGTCAAAACATCACATGTACGCCATAAATGTGTGCAATTTTTATGTATCAGTAAAAATACCTGATTTCAATAGCGTTTGACCAGAAATCATAGACAATGCAAATAACTTTCTCCAATTACTTACATTAAAATTGGTTCAAAGACTACTTTAGGCCGGGCGCGCTGGCTCACGCCTGTAATCCCAGCACTTTGGGAGGCCGAGGCGGGTGGATCACGAGGTCAGGAAATCGAGACCATCCTGGCTAACACAGTGAAACCCCGTTTCTACTAAAAATACAAAAAAATTACTCGGGCTTGGTACGGGCGCCTGTGGTCCCAGCTGCTCGGGAGGCTGAGGAAGGAAAATGGCGGGAACCCGGGAGGCGGAGCTTGCAGTGAGCCGAGATCGCGCCACCGCACTCCAGCCTGGGCGGCAGAGCGAGACTCTGTTTCAAAAAAAAAAAAAAAAACTACTTTAACGAGTAAATTTCAAAGATACACTCCTAGCTTTGAATTCTTAGTTTTTAATCTTTTGATAATGTATTTTCAAAAGAGTTTTAAAAGACTGCGTGGGTAGGCACTAGAAAGTTAGGAGTTATTGTTTTCTGCCTGATGACACCGAAGGTGGATTTAATTCCTTCATTTTGCTTATCTTGCTTTGCAAATATTCTACCTTGTGCCAGAATCAGCTTTGTAACTTAGAAAAATCACTGAGTAATACAAAATTCAAAAATGAGCAAATTATTATCATTCATCATTCCAGCCCTTTGTCAATGGATGCGTTGAAATCCCCTCCCAGAATTACCCAGATAAATGCAATAATACATGCTATGATTTCATTTTAAATAATTCTACAATTATTAAAAATAATATATCACTGGATTATAATATTCCAGGTCCTCTATGCATACTTGTGGCATTCCTACTAATCAAAATATGAGGTTTAGCAATGTACTAAAATATTCCATTTTAGCAACCCAAAAGCATATTAGAATCATGTACGAGGGAAGCTTTTCTAAGTAAAGTCTCTTCTAGCACCCTTTGTATCCGAATGCAGGAATTCTGCATGGATAATGCCATCAATGCTGTCAACTTGATGCATGAGTCTTTATTCTGTCCCCAGCATGATTTACGGATATGTTCCCAAAGGTGGTTTTAATATCACATCCTGAGTACCTTCGTTAATCAAAAATATAAAGAAAATAAATGTGTACAAAAGAATTCTACATAGCTTGTTTTCTTAAGTAGAAATGAAAACAAGCTAATCATTATTGCTCCTATCATTTTATATAAACTGTAACAGCCAAAATGCATACCATGTAATGTTATAAATCTATAAATATATTACTTCTCTTTGATATAATCTATTTTTAAATATTCTAATATTTACTCATAAACTTTGTTGCATTCTCTGAATCTAAAATATCAATGCTAAAGTTGAATATTATAATACTATTACAATTTTGTGACTTTAAATTGATTTTCCATTCATAACCCCATTCGGGGTGAATGACCCTTTAATCCTCAGAGGTCAGCAAAGAAGATAATACTTTTATCATTTTCCACCTTCCAGGAGTATTTGGAAACTTTTAAACAATAACCCAGCCCATGTGCCTTAACACTTCCTAACTGCAATACTTTGTCTTCCTTTTGTGAGACAGGGTCTTCATCTTCATCCCAAACTCCACCCCCATTTCCAAAACACACACCCACAGCCTTGATCTGTCCGATCCCTTCTCACATATCCAGTCTTCTCAAGATTCAACTCAATCTTCACCTAACATGGAAGCCATTTCCAAAACAGACACAAGAACATTTGGTAATTGCCCTGTTTTCTCTTCCTGCAGCACTGCTTCCGGGAACTTACACTATGAATCGAAATACTCTGCTTAGATATCTTTCTTGTTCCCCTGGCTGGGTTTGGGTGTGCTGGGTGCTCAGTTGGGTTGTGCCACCTGCCACTCTTGGTCAGGTTTCGAAGTGTGTGTATTTTTATTTTGTGTTTCCATTACCTGAGAGAATGTGTCATATGGAACGGACTGAACACATACGTATGGAGCTGAGCAGACTTGTCTCAAACCGAGATGTAAAGTCAAGAGGAAAAAAAACATAAATGACTTGGTGGTGTTTCATCATCCAACTCGATATGCTTTCACAGAACCCCCATTACCTCTGTGAACCTGAAACAGTCACAGACTGTCAAGGGAAGGTCCCAAAAATCAAACAATCATGATGAAAAGTAGTGGGGAATCTGAACTAATTTACATAAAAATATTTTCAATTAGAAAAATCTTCATATTTCTGCAAAATGCCTTTAATGATATATAGAAAACACATTATTGAATGTACCTAAATAATCCACACTCTCTCAAATGAAGCAATGAATATACTAACAAACACAT